CCTTCAACAAATAAAGGGGTAAATAGTGTTATGCCCGTACTTAATGGAATACTATTAAGCAATAAAAAGGAATAAACTACTAATACACTTGACAGCTTGAATGAATTTCAAAGCCATTATGCTAAGTGAAAAAAGCCATTTTCAAAAGGTAACAAAAAAACTAAGCCCAAAGTTACTAGAAGGAAGGAAATAACAAAGATCAGAGTGGAAAGAAATGGAGACTAAAAAGCCAATAGAAAAGATCAAAGAAACTAAAAACTGGTATTGTGAAAAGATAAACAAAATAAACAAACTTTTAACTAGACTTACCAAGAAAAAGAGAGAACTCAAATAAATAAAATTAGAAATGAAAGGAGACATTACAACAGATATAACAGAGATAAAGAATTATAACAACTACTATCAACAATTATATACCAACAAATGAGACATCCTAAACAAATGGGTAAGTTCCTAAAAACATACAACCTACCAACCTATCATTAAGAAATAGAAAATCTAAGCACACCAATTACCAGTGAGATTGAATTAGTAATCAAAACCCTCTCAACAAAGAAAAGTCCACCACATAGCTTCATTGATGAGCTCTACCAAAACTTTAAATAATTAACAGCAATTCTTCTACAAGTCTTCCCAAAAATAGAAGAGGAGGCAATATTTCCAAATTCATTTTATGAGGCCAGCATTACCCTGACAGCAAAACCAGCAAGGATATGACAAGAAAAAAATTAAAGGTCAATATCTCTGATGAACAGTGATGCAAAATGCTCAACAAAATATTAGCAAACCAAATTCAACAATACATAATCAGGTGGGATTTATTCTAGGGATACAAGAATGGTTCAACATCTGCAAATCCATCAATGTAATACACCACATTAACAAAAGAAAAGATAAAATCACATAATCATCTCAACAGGTGCAGAAAAAGCTTTTGACAATTAACATCCATTTATGATAAGAACTCTCAATAAAGTGGGTATATAGAGGGAATGTACCTCAACATAAGGGCCATATTATGACAAGACCATAGTTCACATCATACAAAACCTTTCAGCTTTTCCTCTAAGATCAGGAACAAGACAAAGATGCCCACTCTCACCACTTTTATTCCAAGAAAAAATAAATAAAAGACATCCAAACTGGAAAAAGTAGAATTGTCTATTTGCAGGTGGCATGATATTACATACTGAAACTTCCAAAGACTCAACCAAAACAGAACTAATAAATGAATTCAGTGAAGTTGCAGGATACAAAAATCAATACACAAAAATCAGTTGGTTTCTATATACCAACAGAAACCAACAGAAAGAGAAATTAAGAAAACAATCCCATTTACAACTGCATCAAAAAGATTAAAATACCTAGGAATAAATTTAACCAAAGAGGTGAAAAATCTGTACTCTGAAAACCACAAGACACTGATTAACAAGTTGAATAAAACACAAATAAATGGAAAGCTATTTCATGCTCATGGATTGGAAGAATTAATATTATTAAAATGCTCATACCCCCTCCCCGAAAATTGATCTACAGATTCAATGCAATTACTATAAAAATTCCAATGGCATTTTTCACAGAAATAGTATAAACAATCCTAAATATTCTATGGAACCACAAAAGACCCCAAAAATCCAAAGCAACCTTGAGAAAAACAAAGCTGGAGGCTCCCAGATTTCAAACTGTATAACAAAACTATAGTAATTAAAACAGTATGGTATTGGCATAAAAACAGACACATAGATCAGTGAAACAGGGTACAGAGCTCAGAAATAAACCCACATACATATGGTCAATTAATTTACAACAAAGGACTCAAAAGTATACAATGGGGAAAGGATAGTCTCTTCAATAAATGGTATTGGAAAACTAGACAGCCACCTGCAAAAGAATGAAACATGTGCTTTAAACCCTAATCTTTGTTCCCACAGAAGAAAATCACTCCATCAACTGTCCTCCACCCTCTTACATGTCCAATCTTTCCTCTTCTCCTAAACCACTCCAACTGACACATAAACATGCTATATTTCTTCCTCTCAGCTACTGCTTCATTTTTCTTCTCCCATTTATCAGAAAACTTGTCAAAACAATTCTCTGTGATGGCTGTCTCCACTTCTCTTTTCCTTTCTGTGGAAAATAAGCCACTCAGGCATTCACACCCACCAGGCCTCTGAATCTGATCTTGTCAACTCCACTAAGGACTTCTCATGCTGCTAAAACGGTCAAGTCTCGGTGGTCATCTTACTCAATCATTTCACCACTGGCACCATTTATCATACCTGATGCTCTTTCCTTCTTCACATCGTTCTCTCCTTGACTTCTGAGACAAAACCCTCGATTCTCTTCCCATTTCCCTCCTTTACTTAGTGCCCTTTGCTATTCCTTGTCCTCTTCCTGATCCCTCAATGCTGGAATGGCCCCCGGGCTCATTCCTCTTCTCCTTACTATGCATTCTCACTCTGATGGGGGTCTCATTCTGTCTTAGAACTGTAAATGCCATCTTTTTGTTGACTACCGCCAAATTTTTATCTCCAGCCTTGGAACTTCAGAGTCAAGCATCTATCTGCCTAATGTACATCTCCACCTGGGTGACTTCCTATGTATCTCCGACGAAGTATGTTTGAAACCAGATTTCTCATTTCCTCCCCCTTCCCTACGCTTCTCCGGCTCGATGAATGGTCTCTCCATCTTTCTGGCTGATCGGGTGAAATGAACCTTGAAGTCATCCTGAAAACTTCCCTTTCCTCACAGTCCACACCTCATCCATTAGGAAATCCTGCTGCCTCTGCCTTCAAAACATATCAGGACTTTTGCTCACCACCTCTACTGGTCTTCCCAGTCTGAACCACCACTGTCTCCTTCCTGCATAACTGGGACTTCTCCTTAGTTGCTCCTTAACTTCAATCTTTGCCTCTCTACTTTGTCATCACAGCTGCCAGAATGACACTTGAAGGAAGGAAATCAGATCATGTTACTTTTCAAATTCAGGTATTGCAATGACTTTCATTTCCCCCCAAATCAAAGCCTTATGATGAATGACATTCTATTACAATGATCTTACAGTGCAGGCATTTGAGCTGGGGCTCAGGAAGGTGTTTCAAGGTTCACAAAGGAAAGTCCTGCGGTCTCACTTCTCTACCTTCAGCCTCCATTATTCTCGCCCCCTTACTGATTCCAATTCAGCACACAGTTTTTGAGTCAGAACTATATTGTTAAATATTTTACCTAAAATACATGGAAAAATAGTTTTATAAATTTTTATTTCTTTTGTCTGATTTTATTGTACTTTGCGCTTTAATTATATGCATAAATATATATTATCTCTCCCTTTGGGAGCAGAAAATCACTTTAACAGGTAAGTGTATCATTTCACTTACAGACATTTTCATGGTCTTTCTTTTATATAAAACGAGCTCCTAAAAATGTAGATCAAAACTGAATTTATTCTCTTACTGATGGCTCTTCAAACCAGTGGGAAAATGTGGATGAGGCAATAAATGCTGTCGGGATAACTAGTTAGCAATTTGGAAAGAAAAGCTACATCCTTTCAGTCCTCTCTTCAAAAACAAATTACATACAAAGAGAAGAGGTAGTTAAAGGTAAAACATAAGTTAATAAAAATTATATAAGAAAATATAGGTGGATATATTTTTAATTTGGTAGTTTAGAAAGCCAGATAGCTATCAAGTCATAAGTGATAGACTTGTCTGTATAAAAATTCAAAAGTTCAAAACAGTTTTTAAAAGTCACTATAATTAAAGCTAAAATATATTTTATAAGTTGAAAAATACTTCTTACCTATTTGAGACTAAAGGTTAAATTATAAATACACAAAAAGGACTTGCAAATCATTAATAGCAAATGAACATCTTAAAAGGAAAATAAGCGAAGGGTAAGAAAAATAAAATTCATAGAAGAAAGAATTAAAAATAAATTTAACATATAAAAATATATTTAACTTCTAACCCAATCAAAAGATGCAAAGGAAAACAATGAGCGGCACCTATTAACCTATGTAATTGGGAAGATTAAAATGTTAGCATCACTCAGTGAAGTCTCACTTCAGAAGGGATTGTACATTGGCCTTCATCATAACTAGAGAGACGTTTAGAAACAGATATCAAAACTTTTAAAGTGCACAGTTTTTGATCCAGATTTTTCATTATTAGATAGTAAGCCTGAGGATGTAATCAGACAATTTTTTCAAAAATGTACATGTAAGGATTCACTGTGGCGTTATTGATAAATTCAAAATGCCAGAAATAGCCTAGATACTCATTAACATAGCCATGCTTAAATTAAATTTGGAGCATTGTGGGAATCTATGCAGGTGCTGACAATTGACATGAAACGTTCCATGTTTACACTGTTAAGTGAAAAAGAAATGCAAATTTCAAACAACTGCATAAATAGGGTGGGGCAAAAGTAGGTTTACAGTTGTATGTGAAAATTTATTCTTATTATTTATTATTGTATTATTTTCCATACAAACAACTGTAAACCTATTTTTGCCCACCCTGTATATTATAATTCCCACCTCTAGTTAGGATTTCAAGTGAATGTTTTTCCTAACTTCTTTATAATTTTGTTATATTATTTGAATTTTCTATATATGAGTTATCTATTAAAAACAGACAAAACAGTATATATTTTTTCATTTAAAAAACAGGTGAGTTGTTGGGATGTACAGACAGGCATTTCTGTCTGTTGAAAACTCCAACCTCATTTGCAGTCTCTGAACAATCTACTGAAAATGGTGGTAGGGGACTGACTATTCAGTGCTCATCGCGCAGTGCTCAGTTCAGTATGTTCTGCAGGCAGTTCAAATTGCAAGACAGCCTGTATTGCTGGAAAATTCCATTCAGCTACATAGTGGTGGCATGTTACTTTTGCTAGAGTATATAAAGTCCAATAACATAACAAAATATATAAATAAAGTTTCAAAAGTAATTCCCAAATACAATAAACTCACAAACTAACAAATGAAATGGATTACCTACCTATCTCCCTTTGGTTTTCTTTTTTGTAGTGACTTCCCTTTGGGTCTTCTTTCACTTCCTAAACAAGGGCTTCCACCAGGTCCTGTTACCCGTATTGATTCAAGGCCTTTGGAAGATTTTTTAAATGTGAATTCCACTGGTTCTCCTTCTTTTAGGCTTCTAAATCCTTCCATGAATAATTTGCTCTGTAAAGAGCAGGGGAGGGAGGGGGAAAGAAAAAGAGATCATGATTATCAATGCTTCACAAATTTTCTCTATAATTTTAACATTAACATATAGCAAGATATTCTTTGTTATCCATTACTAAGTATAAAGTCTTTTTTGTTTAAGTTCAGTGAAGGTTATACCATCTTAAAGTTTCCTGTTGCAATGCTGGCAGTGAGAGAGTAAACTAACATCATTTTTTAAAGGCAATCTGGAATACTTACAAAAATTTAAATGTGCATATTCTTTGACCCAGCAATTCCACTTCAACGA